ATATTAATTTTAAATTTAAAGAAGAAATATAAATTATGTGTGAGTTTTTGAAACAATGATTAGAATATATTAATTTTAAATTTAAAGAAGAAATATAAATTATGTGTGAGTTTTTGAAACAATGATTAGAATTCATATAATAGTTTTATAAAGAGTGTAAAAGTTACAAATGAGATTCAATAATCATTTTATTCCATGTTTAATATATTATTTTAAATATTAAAAATTTTAAACACAACAACTTTTGCAAAAATTTAAGTTAAGAAGATTTTTTAGAATAAAGGAATGTGAAATTAGAATATTTTATAATTGAAAAATTATATCATTATTAAATTTTACGTTATATAAATAATGGGCAAATTACTTATTATTTATTATTTCACAAAGTTGTGTCTTCCAAAATATTTGATATGTAAACTTGTAATTTGGGTAAGTAATACCTAAAATAGTATTTTAAATACTAAAAATACTAAACATAATAAATTTTACAACAAAGCTAAATTTTTGAAGAATTTTCTCATAAAACTCGTACAGTCGATACTTTGTTTTTTTTAAAAAAAAATTGATACTTGGTTTCAAAAATTCGTATCTTCCAAAATATTATTTATATTATCTTGTATTTTGGATATGTGATATCTAGAACAGTATTTTAAATAGTAACTAGCTGTAAGTGGAATTCTGTCTTGAGGCAATTATGGCATCGTGCCTTAAGGCAAATTGCTGGAACTTCCCGTACCGTAACGAAATGTTCGAGAAATACTGAATGTTTTCAAATAGATTATTATAAATATTGTAAAATTATCTAATATTTATAAGAATTATATAAACTGAATTGCAGAGTTGAAATTATTTGTAAAGTATATTAGAACTATAGTCAGAATAAAAAATAAAATCTGAAATATTTTCGATATCCAAAATACTAAAAATACCAAGAAAAAAAAAAAAAAAAAAAAATGAACAGAAAATTTTTTTTTCAAAATCAATTATTTTGTTAAGACAGCAGAAAGTTCTTTGAATCATTTAAATCGGACGCTTAGTTCTCTCAAAAACAGGCCATTTTTTTAAATTTAGCTCTGTATCTCCGAAACCTCTGGCCTACCTTTGCCAAAAACTAATCAGCACATCTCCCTATCATAGGAATCGAATGTTTTTTAAACCATTCAAATCGGTTGATCCGTCTCTCAAAAACTCGCTTTCTATTTTTTGCACTCTTGCTCCGTATCTCCGAAACGGCTGGATCTGCTTTGCCAAAAACTACATCAGCTCTTTTCCCTATCAATAGAATCGAACGTTTTTGAACCATTCAAATCGGTTGATCCGTGCGCCCGAAAACGTGGGCGAAAATTGTATCATACATACCACCCACCCACACATCCATTTTTTTCTGAAGTATGCCAAAATGTTCAGAAACCTTCAAAACGTCGAGAAATGTAAAAATTTTCAATTCCGATTTTCGGCCCATTACAATAACTTACCCTACGGGAAGTTAAAAATATTAAACTGATGAAATTTTACAAAAAAAGCCAATATTTTGAGCATTTTTTCAAGCAGCTTGTACTTACCATACCTATAATCTGGAGAGATTGAAACTAGATTTTGAAAAAATCATTTTTGCCAAATTATTAGATGTACAATTTTGTAATTTGAATATGTGATATCTAAAACAATATTTTGTATACTAAAAATATTAAACCGATGAAATTTTATGAAAACGCCAAAATTTTTCTTAATTTTCTTAAGCAACTTCTTCAATCTCTCTTTTGGTTGAGATAAAATTAACACTGGATTTCAAAAATTCATTTCTTCCAAAATATTTGCAATATAATCTTGAAATTTAGATATGTTACACCTAAGACAATATTTTAAGTGATAAAAATATTAAACTGGTGAAATTTTACAAAAAGCTAAACATTTTCGCAATTTTCTTAGGAAACTCGTACTGACCATTCTGGTAAAATTGAAACTAGATTTTGAAAAAATTAGTTGTGGCAAACTATTAGGTGTACACGCTTGTAATTCGGATATGTGATACCTAAAACAATATTTCAAATACTAAAAATATTAAACTGATGAAATTTTACAAAAAGGTCAAAATTTTTCCTAATTTTCTTAAGCAACTTCTTCAATCTCTCTTTTGGTTAAGATAAAATTAACACTGGATTTCAAAAATTTATTTTTGCCAAAATATTTGTAATATAAACTTGTGATTTGGATATTAGATACTTAAAACAATATTTTAGATAATGAAAATATTAACATCTTAAATTTTAAAACAAATCCAAAATTATGAACAATTTTTTTTAACAACTCTCTCTTATACAATCTCTCTTTTGGTTGAGATAAGATTAACACTGGATTTCAAAAATTCATTTCTTCCAAAATATTAGATTTACAAACTCGTAATTTGGATATGTGATACCTAAAACAATATTTCAAATACTAAAAATATTAAATTTATAAAATTTTACAAAAAAGCCAAAATTTTGGGAAATTTTCTTCAACAACTCTTACAATCTCTCTTTTGGTTAAGATAAAATTAACACTGGATTTCAAAAATTCATTTCTGCCAAAATATTTGAAATATAAACTTGTGATTTGGATATTAAATACCTAAAACAATATTTTAAATACTAAAAATAATAAACTGATGAAATTTTACAAAGAAGCCAAAATTTTGAGCAATTTTCTCAAGCAACTCGTACAATCACCTCTTTAATTTATGTAAAATTAATACTAAAGTTCAAAAATTATATCTGCTAAACTATTGGCAATATAATCTTGTACTTTGGATACGTGATACCTAAAACAATATTTTAAATATTAAAAATATAAACCTAACAAATATTATAACACAACAATAATTATAAACAAAATACTACACCAATAACACAACTTTTTGCACAAATTTCAAAACCTTCACATTTCTTTGCACATATAAGAAAATGCTTTATTACCGGAACTGGGTATTACCCATTACCCACAATCATAACCTACTAATAAAACCCATTACCAATTACCTACTATTTCAAGTACATCCATAATTGCACAACACTAGTATCGAAGATCGACCAAACACATGTCGATATGTGTATCTTTTATATCGATTATCAGGTGTGTGTGTATGTGTGTAAAGGTGTGTTTGTGTTATTAATTATTGCACAAAAGTCGAAATCTTCGCAAAGTCGAAATTCCGGGCCAAGGTCTAAGACTAGTGGTTAATAAATCGATAATTCAATGTTCGACTGTCGATATTACTTAATAGTAAAAATAATCGTAAATTAGAAATTTAAACCGTTTGCCTAATCGTATTTATCGAGATACAGGAAAACCGGGCTAAATGATATAGTTATATGAAAAAAAATTATATAATTTGTTTTTTTATATTTATGTATAAATTGTTGGTAGAAATGTGAGACGTTCAATATTTTTGGGAACAAAAAATGCTGCGTAATTTTATAAAGTATTATCTAGTTTCCATGACGATTTTAAAGTATACCGAGTTGCTGTAGGGTCTTATGATGTTAGACAATTTTGTAGAGTATTTAATTTTAAGCAAATTTTCTGAATAGTTCATTTAATTCTGACAAACCCTTCAAAAGTTACAAGAGATTTAGTAAATTCATGTATAAACCAGTTTGTGAGTCTCTTCGGTTCAATTAATCTTAACCAAAAAGAGAGATTGAAGAAGTTGCTTGAGAAAATTATGAAAAATTTTGACTTTTCTGTAAAATTTCATCAGTATAATATTTTTAGTATTTAAAATATCATTTTAGGTATCACATATCCAAATTACAAGCTTGTACACATAATACTTTGGCAGAAATATTTTTTTTTTAAATCTAGTTTAAATTTTACCAGAATGGTTAGTAGAGTAGCCTAAGAAAATTGCGAAAACTTTTAGCTTTGTTGTAAAATTTGAATAGTTTAGTATTTTTCATCATTTAAAATATTGTTCTAGCTATCTAATATCCAAATCACAAGTTTATATTCCAAATTTTTTGGCGGAAATAAATTTTTGAAATCCAGTTTTAATTTTATCTTAACCAAAAGAGAGATTGAAGAAGTTGCTTAAGAAAATTATGAAAAATTTTAGCTTTTTTGTAAAATTTTATCAGTTTAATATTTTTAGTATTTAAAATATTGTTCCAGGTTTTACAAATCCAAATTACAAGATTCTACAATAAATACTTTAGGAGAAATGAATTTTTAATTTGGAGTTACCTTGAAAAACTCTCGAAGAGTTGCTTACTAAGATTACATTTCTAGTTTCAAACGCGATTTTAGAGTAGACCAAGTTGCTGTAGTGTCTTATAATGTTGGACAAAATTAAAGATCATTTAATTTTGCACAAATTTGCCAAATATTTCAATTAATTTAGAGGCAAACCGTTTAAAAGTAATAAAAGATACAATAAATAAATGCTCTGCACATTACTCCAGATCATTCTTCCTTTGTATTCAGAGTACTAATAATATAGAGTTAGTAATATAGAGAACTGACTTATTTTTAAACGGGATTTTAAGATATACCGAGTTGCTGTAGGGTCTTATAATATTAGACAATATTAAAGACAAATTAATTTTAAACAAATCCACCAAACATTTCCTTCAATTTGGACCTACGGTTTAAAAGTTACAAGGGATTTAGTGAATCCATGCATAAACCTGTTTGTGAGTGTCCTCGGTTCAATTACATAATTTTAAGAGCGATTTTAAAGTATACCGAGTTGCTGTAGGGTCTTATAATATTAGACAATATTAAAGACAAACTTCTTAACAAATCCACCAAACATTTCATTCAATTTGGACCTACGGTTTAAAAGTTACACAAAATTTACTAAACAAATCCCCAAACTTGCTCTGAACTTACATTCCATCAGCCCCCGTACTATATACAGTACACCGGGCCGAATTTGCTCAATTTAACATAAAAACCTATTATATAACAAACAAATCCATATTATGTAATACTAATTTTCTTAATATTTTCTTTATTTTCAGTGAATTATTACAAAGTCAACGCGACGTCGCAATGATTTCAGAAATGATCCACTCGGCATCCCTGGTACACGATGATGTCATCGACCAGAGCGACTGCAGGCGGGGAAAACCCTCAGTGAACGTGCTGTGGAATCACAAAAAGGTTGGTTAATTTATATATGGTAGTTGAAGGTTTGTAGAAATTTGTGTAAAAATTTGAAACAAATCGGTTAAGTAGTTTTGGAGTAAAATTAGATGGAAAACTGGTAGTGATTTTTTGGATTTGGTGGGTTATTGGGTGGATTGGGTGACTTTCCTGAAGGCAAAGTGCCACTTACACCTAGTTCTTGGTTATTTTCGAGTCTTTTATGCAAATGACGAGCGTTCAGAGGAGTAATTCGCATATTATTTTGCCTGTTTGAACAAATTATGCAAATATTTGCAAATAGTCAGTGAACTTTGAAGAATCGACTTCAAACTGTCGTCTTTATTTATTTAACACATTGATGACGATGATGATGAAGACATCAGAAAGTGGAAAACCACAGATTTTATGGAAAATACAAATACTTAAAGTGTTAAATAATTAGCAATATTAATAATAATTTATATTGGTAATTATTAAATTGAATTTAAATACAAGTGTTTGCATACTGTCTGAACTCTTGGATTTTCTGCCTTAACTTTGTTTATTTATTTAATTTATTTATTTATTTTTATTTTCTAATAATTAATACTAGTTAATAAATATATTTTGGAATATTTTTGTGTTAAAAAAATACTGTACAAAAATTCTTTAAACGTTTTTTTTAATAAATTTACTAACGTACTTGTGCATAATTTTAGGTGAAATTTACTTTAAACAAACAATTCATATTACTTTTCGGATTTTAAATCACTTTTCGGACTTCAGACATATTTTTTGAGTTTACTGAGTTGCTTTAGGGTTTCATAATGTTAGACAATATTAAAAATTATTCAATTTTGTACAAATTTGTCAAATATTTCATTTAAATCAGACAAATTGTTTAAAAGTTACAAGAGATGTAAGAAATAGATACGTTTTGTGTGCACACAGATCTTTTTTCTGATTTCAAATTTGTTTTTAAAGTACACCGAGTTGCTGTAGGGTTTTATAGTGTTAGAACAATTTATAGATTATTCAATTTTGAACAAATTTGTCGAATATTCCATTTATATTAGGAATTTTGTTTAAAAGTTATGAGAAATATAAATAAAAGCGCCCTGTCCACATTACTTCAGATCACTTTCATACTGTCTTCAATCGAGTTTATTGATGATATTTATTTTTAAATGTCATTTTAAAGTATACCGAGTTGCTGTAGGGTTTTATAATGTTAGACAATATTAAAGATTATTCAATTTTAAACAAATTTGTCAAATATTTCGTTTAAATTAGACAAACTATTTAAAAGTTACAAGAGATGTAATAAATCAGTGCGCTTTGTATTACCTAAGCGCACTTCTCTGATTTCAAATGTGTTTTTAAAATATACCGAGTTGCTGTAGGACTTCATAAAATTAGAACAAATCATAGATTATTCCATTTTAAACAAATTTGTCGAATATTCTATTTAAATTAGGCATTGTAAGTAAATGCGCCCGGTGCACATTACTTCAGATCATTTTTATACTGTCTTCAATCGAGTTTATTGCAGATATTTATTTCTAAATGCTATTTTAAAGTATACCGAGTTGCTGTAGGGTTTTATAATGTTAGACAATATTGAAAATTATTCAGTTTTGCACAAATTTGTCAAATATTTCGTTTAAATTAGACAAACTATTTAAAAGTTACAAGAGATGTAAGAAATAGATGCGTTTTGTGTGCACTCAGATCTTATTTCTGATTTCAAATGTGTTTTTAAAGTACACCGAGTTGCTGTAGGACTTTATAATATTAGAACAAATCATAGATTATTCCATTTTAAACAAATTTGTTAAATATTCCATTTATATTAGGCATTTTGTTTAAAAGTTATGAAAAATATAAATAAATGCGCCCGGTGCACATCATTTCATATCATTTTTATACTATCTTCAATCGAGTTTATTGAAGATATTTATATCACAATGCTATTTTAAAGTATACCGAGTTGCTGTAGGGTTTTATAATGTTAGACGATATTGAAGATTATTCAGTTTTGCACAAATTTGCCGAAAATTTCATTTAAATTGGATAAATTATTTAAAAGTTACAAGAGATGTAATAAATAAAAGTGTTTTGTATTACCTGAGCGCATTTTTCTGATTTCAAATGTGTTTTTAAAGTATACCGAGTTGCCGTAGGGTTTTATAATATTAGAACAATGCATAGATTATTCAATTTTGAACAAATTTGAATTTCGTTTAAATTAGACAAACTGTTTCAAAGTTACAAGAGATGTAATAAATATGTGCGTTTTGTATTACCTAGGCTCATCTTTCTGATCAAAAATGTTGTTATTTTTCTTTTATTAATTAACAATCAACAATAAAGAATATTATTATTAATTAATTTAAACAAAGCTTTAATGAATTTTAAAAATATTAATAAATCCAAAAAGACTGTGTTGAACGAAAAATTGTGAAATTCCTTACACAATTTGCAAATTTTCAGAACAAAATTTATATTTTACAACAATTCGATAATTTTTTGGGCAGAAACCAATACATATATTTGCTCCAAATTTTTGCACAAACTTCATCAATACTTAAGCTATATTTGTACAATTTTTTAGAAAAATATAACCCCACGTAATAAATCTCTCTATTTATTACTACATATTGGTCTAAATTTATTCTAAATTATTTATTCTGGACACGAAACGATATGAAATCGATGTGTGATTGCACTTTTAACGATTGCGATATTATTATTATTTCATATCCATATATAAATAAATAGAAACATAGTTTCGTTTTCAATTAACAATGCATATATGCATTTTCTATAAAAGTCTTGCGATGGGGGCCTTTTGGAGGCCTATTAAGAAATCGAGGACAAATTTCGTTTTCTATCGCCATTTTGGAGTATACCGAGTTGATATAGAGACTTATGATGTTAGACAATATTGTAGACAATTTAATTTTGTGTAAATTTACCAAAGACAGAAATTATTTTTAACGAATAGTTTAAGAGTTATGAATTATTTAAACGACAACAAACGCCCTATTCACTTGTATAATGAAGAGATACCTTGATACAAATTTCGTTTTCTATTGCCATTTTAGAGTATACCGAGTTGTTGTAGAGCATTATAATATTAGACAATATAATAGACAATTCAATTTTGTGCAAATTTCCTAAATACACCATTTATTTATAACAAATAGATTAGAAGTTACATGTGATTTCTGAATGTACTACACCCATTAAATTCCTCAATTTCTGTATATGTACTTTTTTTTTTAATTATGGGTATACCGAGTTGTTCTATAATATTTCTATTACTTTCATAATTATATTTCCCATTTTTTGCAAATCAAATTACAAAATCTGAACCGAAAAAACAGTAATTTATATTTCGTTGCAATCATTTTATCAAATTGCAATACCGGTTTCATATATCGTTTGGCAATAGAATAATTATTCGCTTATATTTATTTCGATATTATCTTTATCTGTATTAGATACATAGATAAAGATACAATTGAAAGTCTAGGTTGCTCAAGAACATATGTTCGCATGTCGATTAGAGCAATGAAGGACATAAACTATTTTTGCTATAACTTTTAAACCATTTGTTATAAATAAATAGTATATTTGGTGAATTTGTGCAAAATTAAATTGTGTAAAATGTTGTCTAATATTATAAGTCCATACAGCAACTCGGTATACTTATAACTAGCTTTGAAAATGCAGTACGAAATATGTAGTGTATTTAGCGAACATGCTTTTGTTCAGTAAATAAATTATAACTTTAAAACCATTTGTTATAATTGAATAGTATGTTTGGTGAATTTGTTGAAAATTGAATTGTAAACAATGTTGTCTAATATCATAACACCATACAGCAACTCGGTATACTTATAACTAGCTTTGAAAATGCAGTATGAATATTAATGCGTAGTGTGTATGGAAGCCTCTTTGTTCAGTAAATAATTTATAACTTTAAAACTATTTGTCGTAAATGAATAGTATATTTGGTGAATTTGTTGAAAATTAAATTGTATATAATGTTGTCTAATATCATAATACCATACAGCAACTCGGTATACTTATAGCTAGCTTTGAAAATGCAGTATGAATATACGTAGTGTGCATGGAAACCTCTCTGTTCAGTAAATAATTTATAACTTTAAAACTATTTGTTATAAATGAATAGTATATTCGGTGAATTTGTTGAAAATCAATTTGTATAAAATTTTGTCTAATATTATAAGACCATATATCAACTTGGTATACTTATAACTAGCTTTGAAAATGCAGTATGAATATATATGCGTAGTGTGTATGGAAACCTATTTGTTCAGTAAATAAGTTATAACTTTAAAACTATTTGTTGTAAATGAATAGTATATTTGGAAAATTTGTTAAAAATTAAATGGTATCAAATGTTGTCTAATGTTATAAGTCCCTGCAGCAACTCGTTCTACTTATAACTAGCTTTGAAAATGCATTATGTATATTAATGCGTAGTGTGTATGGAAACCTCTCTGTTTAGTAAATAAGTTATAACTTTAAAACCATTTGTTATAAATGAATAGTATATTTGGTGAAATTGTTGAAAATGAATTTGTATATAATATTGTCTAACAACATAAGTCTATATATCAACTCGATGTACTCTAAAATGGCAATAAAAAACCAAATTTGTATATAATGAAAGAGTACAAGACATCTCTTCATTATACAAGTGAATAGGTAAAAGTGCATTTGTTGTTTAAATAATTCGTAACTCTTATTCGTTACAAATAATTATTGTCTTTGGTAAATTCATACAAAATTAAATTGTCTATAATATTGTCTGATACTATAAAGCTCTACAGCAACTCGGTATACTCTAAAATGGCAATAAAAAACAAAATATGTATATACTCAAAGAGTACAAGGTATCTCTTCATTATACAAGTGAATAGGGCGTTTGTTGTCGTTTAAATAATTTATAACTCTTAAACTATTTGTTATAAATAATTAGTGTTTTTGGTAAATTTATACAAAATTAAACTGTCTACAATATTGTCTAACATCATAAGTCCATATATCAACTCGGTATACTCATAAATGGCATTTGGAAATGCAACAGTTGAAATAGCATATTAAATATGTATCAAAGTGCATCGACAGGTGTATAGTCAAGTGTTACCCAAAAAATCGTATTAAGCATGATCGTCTTAACCGGGTTCTATATTTGTTTGAATAATACCATATTTATTTTTTGATTTTTCTTATTATTTTTGTTAATATTTAATTTTTTTGGCAGGTTGCAATGGCAGGAGACTTCATATTGGCCGTCGCCTCGATGATGATCGCAAAATTAAGAAATGATGACGTAACACTTGTGTTGAGTCAGGTAAAAACCACGAAAAAAATATTAAAAAAATTATATATTAATTTTTAATTAATATCTTTTATCTTTTATCTATTTAATAGGTAATTACGGATTTGGTACAAGGTGAATTCATGCAACTGGGATCAAAGGAAACGGAAAACGAACGATTTGCACACTACCTCACAAAAACGTACAGAAAAACAGCATCTCTGATAGCCAATAGCGTCAAAGCGGTAAAAAAAAATATTCCTGGTATACCACTAAGGACAATTATCATTTACTTTTTTGTACCAGGTTGCCATGTTGGGTGGTGCAGACCAGGAAACCTGTGAAGCAGCCTACCAGTATGGTAGAAATGTTGGTCTGGCCTTCCAATTGGTGGACGACCTCCTGGATTTTGTCTCCAGTTCGGATGCCATGGGCAAACCTGTGGCAGCAGACTTGAAATTAGGATTGGCAACCGCCCCTGTACTATTTGCATGCGAAAGGGTAAGAAAATTTTGGAAATTGGCAACTCTGGCGAAGGCCTAAAAGTTGGGGTTGTTGACCAAGACAAGTATGGAAGGTGTTATGGGAAATCTTTTGTAACACAAAATTTTGTTAGGAACTATATCAATTTTAGTATTTGCTAATAAAGTAGATACTTTAAGGAATGACATATACAAATTACGAGGTTGTAGTACAAACGGTGCATCCTGCAAAGCTCCCTAATTCATCAATATTCTGGAAGTCAATTATCGTTCATGCCAACACTGTTCGGTAAAATCTTTTCAAACACAAAATATTGTTAGAAACTCTACCAATTTTAGCATTTGTTGCTAAAATAGACTCTTCGAGAAATGATATGTCCAATTTATGAAGTTGTAGTACAAACAGTGCGTCCTGCAAAGCTTTCTAAATTATCAATATTCTGTAAGTCAATTATTGTCCATGCCAACACTGTTCGGTAAAATCTTTTCTAACACAAAATATTGCTAGAAACTCTATCAATTTTAGTATTTGTTGCTAAAATAGACTCTTCGAGAAATGATATGTCCAATTTATGAAGTTGTAGTACAAACAGTGCGTCCTGCAAAGCTTTCTAAATTATCAATATTCTGTAAGTCAATTATTGTCCATGCCAACACTGTTCGGTAAAATCTTTTCAAACACAAAATATTGTTAGAAACTCTACCAATTTTAGCATTTGTTGCTAAAATAGACACTTTGAGAAATGACATATCGAATTTATGAAGTTGTAGTACAAACGGTGCGTCCTGCAAAGCTCCCTAAATTATCAATATTCTGAAAGTCAAAGTCTACGACAGACCATCGTTCATGCCAACGCTTGTTGTTAATTGGAATTTTAAAGTATACCAAGTTGCTCTAGGGCAATATTGTATTGGACAACATTATAAACAATTCAATTCTACACCAATTTGCTTAATATTCCAATAACCTCAGACAACCCGTTCCAAAGTTACACCCAATTTCTCAACTCTCTTCCATTTGCATTGATGCTTTCAAAATTCTTTGCATGTTGTTTATTGCATTTTTAAAGTATATCGAGTTGCTGTAGAGCATTGTTGTATTAGACGATATTACAAACAACTTAATTCTGCACAAATTTCCCTAATATTTCAGTAACCCCAGACAACCCGTTCAAAAGTTACACCCAATTTCTCTAGTCTATTGCGTTTGCATTGACATCTTTCAAAATCCCCATCACCTGTTGTTAATTGCAAGTTTAAAGCGCACCGAGTTGCTGTAGACCATTATTGTATTAGATAAGTTTATAAACAATTTAATTCTAAACAAATTTGCTTAATATTCTATTAACCCCAGACAACCCATTCAAAAGTTACACTAAATTTCTCTACTGTCTTACATTTGCATTGACACCTTTCAAAACTCTTCGCCTATTGTTTATTGCAATTTTAAAGTATACCAGTTGCTGTAGAGCATTATCGTATTAGGCAATATTATAAACAATTTAATTCTGCACAAATTTGCCTAATATTCCATTAACCCCAGACAACCCGTTCAAAAGTTACACCCAATTTTTCTAGTCTCTTCTATTTGTCTTTTGTCTATTTCTGGTCTAATGTTTGCCAATAATTTTGTTTCAAGTAAATAGTCTATTACCCATTCACGTTTTTTTTAATTATCTATTTGCCTTAATATCTTAAGTATTTTTACCTTAACTTAATATTCTAATTATCTATTTACCAGTTGCTAGTTAATGGTCTTCTAACCACTCACCATTTTTTTTTATAATATAGTTTATTTATTTATTTATATATATACATTATTTTCATATCTCAGTCAGACAGAGGTGCCTGGTATGAGAGATTATGAAAAACAGTTTTCATATTTTATATATACATTTCATTTGACTATTTCATTAATATAATATCTATATATAATTAAAAATATCTTTATATATGACTCTTCAGTCTTCTTTGTCTTCAATTTCCTTATAGTATTTCTTTATTTTTCTTTTAAAATTATCGTCATCATTGGTCATCTTAATATCGTTTTACAATTTGTTATATATTTTGCTAGCACTCTATATGACATTTTCTCTCAAATTCTTTTTTCTATTGTGTTCAGTTTATTATTTATTAACTTCCCGAAGGAGAAGTTTATGTTTTTATCAAAAAATCCGATTCGCTAATTTTATGTTTTCTCGACGTTTCAAGTCATTCTGAATCGAATGAGACCAAATTTGGAAAAAGTATATGTGTGTGTGTATGTGTGTGTGTGTGTGTGAACAGATTTTTTGCCGTAAATCGACGTTTTCTCAAAAATGGCTGGACCGATTTCAAAAATTTAAAATCCATTCGATGTATCTCGATGAGGACTAGTGATTATCAATTTTGCGCGATGATCAGCCAAGCCGTTTCTTTGTAAATAGCAGAAAAGTGAAAAAATTTTTGTCCACGTTTTAGCGCGCAGTTCTGAATTGATCTTAAAAATTCAAAAACCGTTCGAAAGATATTGATTGGGAATCGTGCTGATGAATTGTTGGTAGAGATCGGCCGGGCCGTTTTCTTGTAATGAAGTTTTTAAAAAAAAAAATTCGACGATTTTTAACTTCCCGTAGGGTAAGTTATTGTAATGGGCCGAAAATCGGAATTGAAAATTTTTACATTTCTCGAAGTTTGAAGGTTTCTGAACGTTTTGGCATACCTCAGAAAAAATGGATGTGTGTGTGTGTGTGTGTGTGTATGTATGTGTGGATACAAATTTCCAGTCACGTTTTAGGGCGCACGGATCAACCGATTTAAATGGTTCAAAAAACATTCGATTCCTATTGATTGGGAAAAGAGCTGATTAGTTTTTGGCAAAGGCAGGTCCAGCCGTTTCGGAGATACGGAGCAAAGAGTGCAGAAAATAGAAATCGAATTTTTGAAAGAACGGAGTATCCGATTTGAATCATCTAAAAAACATTCAATTAGTAATGATTGGGAGAAGTGTTTATTACTTTTTGGCAAAGACAGGTCCTGCCATTTCGAAGATACGGAGCTAAATATGTAAAAAATGGCAGTTTTTGAGAGAACTAAGCGTCCGATTTAAATGATTCAAAGAACTTTCTGCTTGTCTTAACAAAATAATTGATTTTGAAAAAAAAATTTTGTTCATTTTTTTTTTTTTTTTTTTCTTGGTATTTTGGTATTTTGTATATCGAAAATATTTCAGATTTTATTTTTAATTCTGACTATAGTTCTAATATACTTTACAAATAATTTCAACTCTGCAATTCAGTTGATATAATTCTTATAAATATTACACAATGTTACAATATTTATAATAATCTATTTGAAAACATTCAGTATTCCTCGAACATTTCGTTACGGTGCGGGAAGTTCCAGCAATTTGCCTTAAGGCACGATGCCATAATTGCCTCAAGACAGAATTCCACTTACAGCTAGTTATGATTTTTTTTTGACGGTAGATACCATAGTCTTCTAGATCATAAAATATTACGGCTCTACGACAATTGGTTTAACTTTAAAAATTTGTCAAAGTTTGCAAAAATTGGTATAGTTTTTTTGACATTTGTCAAAATTAGACTTTTGATCGACGTTTTCTCAAAAGCGCCTGAACCGATTTCATAAATTTAAAAGCCGTTTGTTGTATCTTGATGAGGACTATCGTTTGTCAGTTTTGTGAGACAATCTGCTAAGCCGTTTCTTTGTAATTTGAAAAAAAGTGTTAAACTTTTCATCCACATTTAAGCTCAAACTACCGAATCGATTTTAAAAAATCAAAAACTGTTCGAAAGATATTAGTTGAGAATGATACTGATTAGTTTTAGGTGAAAATCTACCGAGCCGTTTTCTTGTAATTAACTGTTGAAAAAAAAATTCATACGGATTTTTATGGAACTTTTTTGGTGATATATATCATGGTCTTATAGAACTTACTGAAATATTACGGCCTTACGACAAATAGTTTGATTTTAAAAATTCATCAAAGTTTGAGAAAATGAGTAGCTCTTTTGACATTTGTTAAAATTTTAAAATTAGACTATTCACTTGGTATAATCATAGAGTACTTGGTCTTGAACATAATAAACCATTGAAGTCCTGAAAACTGGTTCAATTACAAAAATTATTGATTTTTGAACATTTGCTTTTAGAAAATACTCCGAGTTAACGTGTTCGTTTGCTTTCAATTATGTGTAATAAATCCATTCGGAATACTTTTAATCACTCATAAATGAATTCATTTTTTATTGATTAAGTCGATTATTTACACATATCGGGAAGTTCATGTAACTTGCCTCAAGGCTAAATACCAAACCAACTAGTTTATTTATTATTTAGTGATCTATTTACCAACTATCTACTTTTTTCCAGTTTCCAGAGCTGAATCCGATGATAATGCGCCGCTTCCAGGAACCAGGAGACTTCGAGCGCGCCTTCGAATTAGTTCACAAATCGAATGGCCTGGAGCAGACCAGGTTCCTGGCCAGAAAACACTGCGTCGAAGCCTGCAGACAATTGGGCAAATTGGCAGATTCACCTTACCAGAAGGCCCTGGGAGTGGTCAGCGATCTGGTCATCAATCGTTTGAAATAGTACAGGAGCTGGTGGCGGAGGAGCAGAGTGGTGATGGTGGAGCTGATGAAGGAATCAATGCAAATGTAAGAGGGTAAAGGATTTAGGTGTAGCTTTTGAAGGGGTTGTTTGGGGTTGGTGGGGTGTAAGGGAAATTTGTGCAGGGTTTAATTGTTAATAATGTTGTCTAATATGATAATGCTCTACAGCAACTCGGTTTGCTTTAAAATTGCAATAAACAACACGCGAGGGATTTTGAAGACACCAATGCACGTGGAAGAGAGTTGAGAAACTGGGTGTAACTTTTGAACGGGTTGTCTGGGGTAAATGGAATATTAAGCAAATTTATTCAGAATTAAATTGTTTATAATGTTCTCTATTACAATAATGCTCTACAGCAACTCGGTGTGCTTCAAAATTGCAATAAACAACATGCAAAGGATTTTGAAGGTGCCAATGCAAATAGAAGAGACTATGAAACATTGGGTGTAACTTTTGAATGGGTTGTCTGGGGTTAATGGAGTATTAGGCAAATTTGTTCAGAATTTAATTGTTTATAATATTGTATAATACCATAATGCTCTACAGCAACTCGGTGTACTTTAAAATTGCAATAAATAACATGCAAAGGATTTTGAAAGGTGTCCATGCAAATGGAAGACAGTAGGGAAATGCGTATAACTATTGAACGGGTTGTCTGGGGTAAATGAAATATTAGAGAGATTTGTGCAGAATAAAATTGTTTATAATGTTGTTTAATACTATAACACTCTACAGCAACTCGGTGTACTTAAAAATTGCAATTAACGGCACGCGAGGGATTTTGAAGGTGCCAATGCAAATAGAAGAGACTATGAAAAATTGGGTGTAACTTTTGAACGGGTTGTCTGGGGTTTATGGCATGTATGGCAAATTTGTGCAGAATTTAATTGTTTATAATATTGTCTAATACAAGAAGACTCTACAGCAACTCGGTGTACTTTAAAATCGCAATTAACAGCAGTCGAAGGCATTTTGAAAGGTACCAATGCACATGGAAGACAGTAGGCAAATTGGGTGTAACTTTTGAACGGGTGGTCTGGCGTAAATGAAATATTGAGCAAATTTGTTCAGAATTAAATTGTTTATAATAGTGTCTATTACAATAATGCTCTACAGCAACTCGGTATACTTTAAAAATCGCAATTAACAACAGGTGTAGGATTTTGAAAGGTGTGCATACAAATGGAAGGGACTAGAGAAATTGGGTGTAACTTTTGAACGGGTTGTCTGGGGTTAATGGAATATTAGACAAATTTGTTTAAAATTGAATTGTTTATAATGTTGTCTTTTACAATAATGCTCTACAGCAACTCAGTGTACTTTAAATTTGCAATTAACAACAGGTGTAGGATTTTGAAAGGTGTGCATACCAATGGAAGAGACTAGAAAAATTGGGTGTAACTTTTTAACGTGTTGTTTGGAGTTAATGGAATATTAAGCAAATTTGTTAAGAATTTGATTGTTCATAATATTGTCTAATACTATAACACTCTACAGCAACTCGGTGTACTTTAAAATTGCAATTAACGACAGGCGAAGGCATTTTGAAAGGTGTCCATGCAAATGGAAGACAATAGAGAAATTGAGTGTAACTTTTGAAGGGTTTGTTCGATATAAATGGTGTATCTGGAAAATTTGTTAAGAATTAAATAATCTATAATATTGTCTAATACATCAACTCTGTATGCGCTTTTTTGCTTAACAAAACTTTGTAAATATTGATTTTCAGTTATAAGTACAGCTAGTTACAAATTAGAACTCTTAGTTGCATTAATTTAATTTTAAAGTATAAGGAGTTGCTGTAGGGTTATTTAATGTTAGACAATATTATAAACACTTTAATTTTGTACAAATTTGCCAAATTTTCATTTACTTCAGACAAGCTGTTTAAAAGTTACAAGAAATAAATGCACAAATATACTCTGTCACTTACTATTTGGTTTATATCTAGTACTACATATATATATATATATATATATATATATATATATATATGTTTGCTTGTATATTTATTTATAATTATATTTTCTTTTTATTTTTTCAGGCAAAATAAAAAAAACTCGAGCCTTCTTCGAGGCTGCTGAAGAATTTGCATTATTTTTCTAATTAATTAATTAAATAATTAAAAAAATAATATTAATTAATATATATATAATAATTTGTAATTAAGTATAAATGAGAAAAAGCAGGACATTGTGTGCAATAGTGTAAATATTAAGGCCAGTCTTTAAGCCTTTGGAATGGATGGATAATTGTTTTTTTGTAATTTGTTAGAAAAATATATGTTGAAATGTTTAAATGTTGTTAAATGTTGATGATTGTGTAAATAGGAGTAAAATTATATATATATATATATATATATATATACACGAGGCAACTAATATAAAATGTTATACATATGTCTTCTTTCACAAATCCATGTTTTTTTCTGTTCTAAGTCAACTTAAAGCGTTTTTTTACGTTTCAAGTCATTCTAAATCCTTCGACACCAATATATATGTGTGTATGTACATGTAATGCATGTAAATAACTATTAGTTCAAAAACTTTCGACCCGAAAAGCCCTAAAAATCTTTTAATTTTCACCAAAAACATCTGAAAGTATACTACTTTCTATTCAAATTTCCGTTTTGAAGAGATTTTTCCCATACAAAAGCATGCTGACATCTTGCTTTGGAACGTAGTATACGACATACTATACTAAAATCCATACAAAAATTAAAATATGTCAAGAATTCTGTTAGGTGGAATTTTGAAATTTGGTATTGGAAGTATACTTGTGATTTTCATACAAATTAATCGTCTAGTAGTTTTTAATTTAAAAAAATAGTAAAAGTTTGTGTTTTGCGAAGAAAAAAATATTTGGTTTTCCTAGATGTTTCAAGTCGTTCTGAATCGTTTGGCATCGTAAAAAGCCTGTTTGGACAAATTTACAATAATTAGATAAACTACAAAATTTATAAATAAGCTAATGGTGTGTATGGCAAATTGCTGGAACTTCCCAAAGAGATTATTATAAATATTGTAACATTGTCTAATATTTATAAGAATTAAACAAACAAAAAATTGAATTAAATTATATTTAAAAAAAATTGAATTAAAAAACTGAAACAAATTTTATGTTTCCAAAAGTGATTATTTTGTTAAAACAAGCAGAAAGTTCTTTGAATCATTCAAATTGGACGCTTAGTTCTCTCAAAAACTGCAATTTTTTGCACATTTAGCTCTGTATCTTCGAAATGGCGGAACCTGTCTTTGCCAAAAACTAATCACATCTTCTCCCATTCATTACAAATTGAATGTTTTTTAGATCATTCAAATCCGATACTCCATTCTCTCAAAAACTCGATTTGTATTTTCTGCACTCTTTGCTCCATATCTCCGTAACGGCTAGACCTGCCTTTGCCAAAAACTAATCAGCACATCTCCCTATAAATAGGAATCGAATGTTTTTTTAATCATTCAAATCGGTTGATCCGTGCGCCTGAAATCGTCGATGAAACATTGTATCCGCATTACATACAAACAACATACAAACACACACACACACATATTTAAGTAGTTCAGTATAAATGTATTAAAGTTTTTTTTAATTTTAGGAAATAATTTTAAAATTTAGTTCTGGATAAAAAAATTTAAATAGTAAAATGTTAACAAGTGACTTTGAATATTAGTTGTCTAAATATATTTATATATATATATATATATATATATATATATATATATATATATATATATTATTTTAATATTAATGTTTATATACAAAAATGTGTATATTTCTGTAAATTTAAAGCTTACAGATACCTGAAAAATTTGCAAATACTCTACATATATATATATATATATATATATATATATATATATATTTTAGACAATATATAAATATATATTATAATAATGAATCAATTTGCAAATGATTTTTGCACAAATATTAAGTTTATTGTTTCAAGACATTTATTATAAATATTGTATAATAATATTAATTATTTAAACTAAATTAATATTATATATATATATATATATATATATATAATATATCATAAAATACTTTTGGATATACGCAAAAAGTTTTATCGAAATTGGACTAGCCGTTTAGGAGGAGTTCAATGTCATCCAATAGTGTATATATATATATATATATATATATATATATATATACATCGTGTAGTTAGGTTAGCAGTCAATTTACAATAGTTGTCATCTATTTTATTATTATTAATATTATTATTATTATTTCATATTATTATAAACAATTAAATATGTAAACACAAACAAGGAGAAATCTTGAGAACTCTCAGGTTTACTTTTAAAATATTATAGGCCTATGAGAAGTGGTAATAATGGTCATGTGACACGTTTTCTGATTGGAAATTACACTTTTAATCACAAAAATCAATTAAGTTTCTTAATAATTAATTAAATTTATTTATTTATATGACACCCCATCATTTTAACCACTGAATCTTAACACAAATCAGTCGGTATAATGGGGATTCGTGGTATGAGTATACCCTTTACTTAAAATCTTAATAAACACTATTTTTGGTGAATTTTTATTATCAAAACCAGTGGTGTATGGCATCGTTTCTTAAGACAAATTGCTGGAACTTCCCGTAATGAAATATTCGAGAAATTTTAAACGTTTTCAAATATATTATTACAAATACTGTAACTTTCATTATCTTGTTATATCTGAGCAAATCAAATGTAAAATGAAAAAGTGCTCCCGTATAGTCACAGTCTAAACGCATTTGCGAATAATTCTGTGCGACATTTTCACTTATACTGTGCTTAGCTCGGCGGCATTTTCACATTTTTCAATAGTTTTCACAAAATTGGAAAGGTGCTCCAGTCCAAAAACAGTCTAAACGCACTTGGGTGAACATTTGTACAAGAGTGGCGCTTAGACTGTGCTTAGCCTGGGTAATTTTTTGAATTTTTAATTAAAAATTGCAAAAATATTTTATTGTGAATAAAAAAAGATGTAATAATTTTTTTATCCTCAAAAGCAATTGTTTTGTCAATA